ACTGACTGACTGACTGACTGACTGACTGACTGACTGACTGACTGACTGACTGACTGACTGACTGACTAAACTATTATTATTGACCAGTCTTAAGTTACAATTGGTTCGTTAAGTAAAGCATAGTTATATGTAATTTATGTACTTAGTCGGTAATGAGCAGCCTCTAGCATTTCACTGTCGTGTGCCAAACGTCCTTTCCAGTAACCTCCCAGTTCCAGGAGATATATCAACCGTTGGACCAATTGTAGATCATGGCCGGGTTGACTATGTATATAAACTTCGCTGCTTGCTTCGACATGTATGTTTGAGACCATGAAGCGTTGCTATCTTTATAGACATTGCATGCCAACAGCTGAAGATCCGACTTTTCTGGTGAGGTAGAATGCACGTAAAGAACGGAATTCCGTTGTATTTGCATCTTCAGTAGTGAAACGATGGGGTTACGTATTACACGGTTAGTTCTATGGACAGGCAACGACGCCTGACAATATAAAAGCGTATTTTTGTCATCGTCGTTAGTCGTTTGATGCTAAACAAGGAGAACAGAGCAAGGGAAGGGCGAAGGCCGTGTCGCGGCAGCTGTTTACCGACCGATCATGAGGACGGTTTTTTCGTCTGTCGGCTAATTGACTACGGAGTCACATTTTCGCCGCTAATCGTTGTCACCAAAAGGCAAAAGATTATTTTTATATTACCCTTGTTTCACGAATATTTAATTAGTTGGTTGTGTACATTAATCTACTGCGTTCGCATGCCTTTTTATTGTCGGCCACCGCTTCGTCTTATTACTCCTCGCTTTTATTACTGTTTGTTGGTGTAGCGACGAAGAATTGAGGAAGATCGTTGTTCGGTGTGTAACCCCGCAACTGCCTCCCTGCTATTGATCGAGTGAACCTTGTGTGGTATTTTCCTCGGTTGTCATACTCCGAATTGTAAAAACATTTCTCGGTTGCATACTCAGTGAAAATTGACTGGTCCTTTGTAGCTAACTGAGGATCAACATCTCCAAGTCTCAGTGCCCGTATTCGTCTGTCTCGTGCGATTTGTCACCACAAACTTCCACATCCCTCTTTTAGCCCATCGGCACACATCCGTCAGTCGTATGAGTTTGTTCGCCAAAGTCGACCCGAGCTATTCGACACGCAACGGACTGCGTCCGTTTCCGTTCATATATATGTATTCATGTTCATTTTCGCCTACGATAGCAACAAGTGCCTCTTATGTTGGTAAAGTCATGTTTAGGGTGTCCGTCATACTTTCCACCCTGGTAGGTGTTGTTCACACTAAGTTTGTAAAGCAATCTTGGCAGTTCAAACCGTAATTTATTTGAGTAGATTTTTTCTTTTAATTTTGTAAATAGTGTAGTTCGAATTCGAGGATTGCGCGCGCGCGCGCGCGCTGTTCACTCCGGTGCATGATCCCAAGCGATCTGGAATCTGAAGGTGGTAGTTACTTGTGGATAATATGCTCAAGCCCGGTGCAGCTGTCCTCCCGTCTTTTGGATGACATGTTTTGTTTTGCAGCCTTGGTATTAGTTCAAATTGCATTGATCATTGAGCCTATATTTATGTAACAATGGAAGTAATGCTGGTAAGTTTCTTATTGATCTGGTAACTTTCCTAATGTCGATCTTGGTTTTTGTCCGTTATACAGTGACTGCTTGCTGCTTTCAAATTGTTTCTTCTTCGCCAGTCGCCTTCCGTACGGATAATACTGTTTGTATCTACTTCTACGACGTGTTCATTAGTATACTGTACTCCGCGACGACTGAGTCCTCTTCGTATGTGCTGCTGAGACAGACCATGTGTTTACTGATCCGGTTGTTTAGTTTTCTACTGGTTTGTGTATTGTGACTGTTTTTCCGTAAGAGCAGTTGCATCTGGTGCGTTGTGGTCCCTACGAAATACTCGCAGCTATTGTTTTGTTTGCCGCACCTCAGAACTCCTTGTTTGCGCCGGCTAGCGCTCATCAGGGGTCAGGTGTGCTCCACGGAACCGAGGCACGTTTTTTGCGGATAATTAATGCTGATTTATCTGCATCAATTGGTTGCGACAGCAAAAATGCATACAAAAATATCCAGATGGTACGTGACCGCTCTGACGCGTGATCGCTGATCGTGGCGGCTAATTCTTTCGCCTTTGAACTTTGCAACACCGTCGACTCCAGTCGCAGAAATACAGCTGCGGTTTTTTCTTTGTTGATTCTTCCTCCTCTGAAAGCCATGCATAACGTCCCCTTCTCTTCGCGCCCTCTTCATCGTGGCAAAACCGTGTTGTTTCGTTTATTCGACCGATAGCTTTTCTTTTCGTTGTGTTCTTCTAGCAGGGAAGGTAGTGCTGTCACAGAGGAAAGTCCTTGGGCTTCGCACCTCGCAGTTGCGGCGCCGTTCGAATCGCCGTGTGGCGTAACTTTTTCTTGTTAACGGCTAATTCCGTTGAGGTTATAAACTTAATTTGTGTTGCGTTGAATCATGGTCGGTTATCGCGTTAGTCTTGACGAGCTGCATGGTTCTTCTGTTGATATGCTTGCGCGGTAAGTAGGACCGCAGTTCAATTGTTTGCATGCTGTGTCTGTCAAGAGACGAACGCACTAACGTGTTCTGGACGTGCCGTAGGGTGCGAGCATCGGACAGTTGCATGACTGTTCGTCTGGCAGGCTGTAGTTTGGCCACACTGGAACACCATGCGACCCGTGTTATTCCCATTTCAGCGACTTGCCGCTCGTTCGTCGGCTGGTTTTGCCCTTCCTCGGGACGGCTAGCGATTTAAATGACGACTCAGGGAAATAAGCGGTTACTTGGAATCAGCAATTTATTTGGAAAAAATTTCACGTGCACGTGGGGTTTGATCCGGGCGTCTGTAAAACAGTAACGGCTAAGGTTGAGGCGAAAGGCAGACCGACCACTGGGCATCCGCTAGGACCGCTTTGAGCAAGGAATTCGCCGTCCAGGGGATCGGTACAACCAGCCAAGTGGTGAACATCGAGCCAAGTGCTGAGCACCGCGAGGACTACTTCATGTTCTTCGTGTTGTGGTATGTCCATGCCACGGCTGTAG